GTCTACTAGGTTCTAAATTTCCCAAAGAAAGCTTTGTTTAACATTTAGCCTTAAAAAGAGGCAGATGCTGTTATATCAGTATCTTTATAAACAGAAGTCACTAGAAAATTTGAAAAAATGTATCACATTCAGTCTACTATTTAGAGAGTAATATTTTATTTCAATCGTAGTAGCTCCTAAAGCGCCATTTACAGTGTTGCTCCATTATGCTAGGCCCTGTATGTGCCTTGAACATGACAATGAACAGTGGTGGGGTAGAGGAGAGATCCAATCGATATATACATTTGTATGTAATGTATATACAAGTTGTATATAAAATTTTTGTTTCTGGCATATTTAAAAACATTTTGTAATGCACATCAATTGCACCTGACTGTGTCTAAGGCTGGGTCTACACTACCCGCCTGAATCGGCGGGTAGAAATCGACCTCTCGGGGATCGATTTATCGCGTACCGTCGGGACGCGACAATCGATCCCCGAATAGACGCTCTTACTCCACCAGCAGAGGTGGGAGTAAGCGCCGTCGCCGGGAAGCCGCAGAGGTCGATTTTTGCCGCCGTCCCTACAGCGGGGTAAGTCGGCTGCAATACGTCGAATTCAGCTACGCTATTCGCGTAGCTGAATTTGCATATCTTAAATCGACACCCCCCCTCCCCCGTAGTGAAGATGTAGCCTAAGACTTTTAATTGGTTAACTACTTGTAGGGATCATAGAAGAAGCTGGTCTTGGAGAGGGTAGTTCCTTACAGATCAGTTCAGGGAAGGATATTCCTCAGGGGAAATATTTACGATGAGTAATTGTATTTCTCTAAAGTGAGTTCAGTTTGTGGAATGCAACCACCAGCACCATTGAGCTTTGGGAACTTCAAGAAAAGCAGTGTTCATTGGAAGCACATATTTCAAGCCACGGTTATAAGAGGCTGTTCAGCTCCTGACCCCCTCTGTTGCTCGTTTTCACAGCCAGCTGTGGGAGTTTTCACCCTCTGTATTTGCCAAATAAAACCTTTGGGTTTTTTACCGATAATTTTTAGTACCTTGAGGGGGTGCTCATAATATCTCAGTGGGCACTGCTTTTCTAGAAGGTTCTCGAATCTCTGTGGCCGTGGGAGTGCATCACACAGATGCACCACTGTCAGAGAACTAGAATTATTGGTAAGTAATTTTTGTATGCATGTCTTGTCACCTTGTAACTTATTTCCACCCTTGCAGGCGGTTATCTTCATTCTTGATTTTTTTTGTTTTTGTTTAAATCCATTCCTTGAAAGAGAAGTTTATTGTTGGGGGAAGCATTTCCCCCCTTTGGCAACACATTCCAATTTTTCCTTGGTTTTGGAATTGCAAAGAAATCCCTGAATCATTTTTGAGAAAGGCGTTGTTTTCAGTTTCCAAAAATAAACAAGACATGTCTGGAGCCACCGAACTCTGATAATAGAGACAATCTATTCCACTCTAATGTTTATCTCAGGGCTCCCAGTGTCTTTCTCAATTTGCCATTGTTTCTTCAGGGACCACAGAATTTCTTTCATAGCTAACTGATTACTCAGCACTAGTATCCTTTCATAAAACTTTATTACTTGAATATGATTGCTCTGTATCATCCCCTTTTTTCTTCAGTTTAAACCAATATTATTCCGTTTGACTGAGTAAAGACTTGCTCTCTTTTAAAATTATAATATTAACTGCGATATTTTAATAGCTTATTTGCTTGGGCAGTAATACGATTAGAGGGACAAAAGAAACCATGTTTCTGAAAATAAATTAATGAAGACAAACTGATAAGTATCGCAATGGATGCTAACTTTGGACTGGTTATTACCAGAGGGTACAGAAATTGTAATAATGCTATCTCCTCATTCATTAAGGGCATGGACATGGGCTGTAAATACTTACTTGATCGTTCAGCCACATCATTGCCTATTTCTTCTCTCCATTCTGAAAGTGCAATATCCTCTCAGGTGAAGGACTCATAACCCCAGAAAGGGAACTTTCAAACAGAAGAGAACTTTAAAAATAGGAATCCTTTTATAATTCATGTTTTTCAAAATTCTGCCATATGTAGTGTCCAGCTTAGTAGCAAAGCCTTTCTCCGTATCACTTGTGCTCTTGTTCTACTTTTTTTCTGAGTACAGTGTGATCTGTAAAATTGTCCAAGTGCGTGCTTGTTTTTTATTTAAAAGGTTTCCTTCAGTTTTGCCAAGTGCAAGTCTTCCATAAAAACATCACTTGTAAATATATAGCTACTTGGTTGGCAAAGAGAGGGAAGAAAACTGCCTCAGTTGAGGTGGGTGATTATGTGGTGCTGATAATTGTAGCTTTTTTGTTTTTAACCAGCACGAAAGATTAAATATTGGGTTGTTCTTGAATTCGGCCTTCTTCTTTTCTGAGTGGTCATCTACAATTTCATGTGGTTGGATTTTCCCGTTCAGTTCATTCTTAGCGTGGTCTTGTCAAGAAAAGAGTTCTTGTAGTGATTCTTCAATTTAGATCTCCAAGGCTCTACCCAGCTTCTGGTGCCTACTCAGAAGGTTGTTTTTGAAGTTTCATGTAGTGAGGGTGGAATCTTTCTCCGGGGTTTCAGAAGACAGATACTGGGGAGCCACCTACGCAGCAAGACAAAAGTTCATCTGGTTAGTTTCCTTGTTAGATGGTGTGAAAGCAGGAATACCAGTCAATCTAGACTGGTGAGTCTGACTAATGCACCAAATTTACATGTGGGAAGTCTTGCTATTTATATAGAACTGAAAGGAAGACAGATCTCTAAGTTATTTAGAACTAGGCCAAACCACTCAATTTTAGGTCTCTGGTGTTCAAGCATCTTAATTCTTTTGTTGCTGGTGGGCAGGTAAAGCAGAAAGGTACACACTAAGTGAAAAAATATGAAGATATGTCAACCAGGAAATGAGTATAGCCATCGTTACTCAATAGAAAGTTTAAACAAAGCCTTTTTGTGTGGAAGGAAATTCTCTGTACAACATTTCGAGACTAGATCTCTCTATCAGTCTTGTTTTAAAATATTTAAAACAACTTCATTTAGTACAGGTATGTCTCAGTTATTCAGACCCATTTAGTTTTCAAAATAGATAAACATTTTTACAGAAAAATCACTTCTAAAACCTTACAAATCTGACCTTATTTAGACAATTACCGTATATACTCGTTCATAAGCCGAATTTTTTTGAGTAAAAAAGGGAAGCACCAGAGAAGGGGGTCGGCTTATGAACGAGTGTAGAGAGGGAGAGGTGGGACACAGCCCCTCCCCCCAACAGAGGGAGCAAGGAGAGGCAGCAGAGCCAGAAGGGAAGAGCGGGGGGCCAGCATCTCTCCGCTTCTGGTCACGCTGCTCTTCCCCCCCAGCCTCCGAAGCAGCCACAACTCTAGGGCTGGCAGGCTGCAGCCGTGTCGCTCAGCTCCGCCCCCCAGAGCAGGCTGTGGCTGCGCCGCCCGGCCTGCCGGAGCACGGCCCAGCCCGCTGGAACATGCTGTGGTCACGCCACCCGGTCTGGCCCACTGGAGTAGGCTGCGGCCAGGCTGCCCAGCCTGCCGGAGTAGCTCCAGCCAGGTCAGAGACATCCTCCCCTGGCCCTCCCCAGATAAGGTGGGGTGGGATGGGATGGGGAGAGTGTGGGAGTCCCGGGCTGGGGTGGGGACATGTGGGGGGTGGTCACAGGGGTTAGTCCTCTGACTCCCAGTTTCTTCCCCCCCCCCCAACCCTCCAAAAATTTCCCCACCAGTTGCTGTGCCAGCCCGATAGGGTAAGCTGGGACACTTTGTTTACTTACCTCCGTGCCTGGGGACACTTGAGGTAAACAAACCATCTCGGCCCACCAGTGGCTTATCCTGATGGCCCGGGAGCCCCGGGGGGTGGGGGTCGGCTTATAAACGAACCATCTTATGATCGAGTATATACGGTACTTGGATTCTATGGAAAAATTGCCATTAAATGGTTATAATTTACCTTCTCGAGATGTATTGATTATGGTGGGATTTAGATTGATGTATTTAATATTTATCTGTGTTTAAGCAAGGAGACAGTCATTTTACTGTTCAAATTTAAACAGTTAATAAACCGGAAGCTTCTGCACATAGAGCAAATATTTTCTAAAAGAACCAAATTGTTTTAGTTTCATAGCTTATAGTTCAAGTAGCTAATAGATTAGCATATGTGTTTTCAGCTCTTTAAATTGAAATGATTTCTGATATGACTCTTATTTTTCATGTAAGGCAAAACTTGTTTAACAGACTTCCACAAGCGTTCCTTACGTGTGTACACCACCTCCTTAAATCCTTACTATGTTTTACTAACTGTACCCTGAATACCCTCTGGAGATTGGTTATTTTTGTCTTCTAATAAAGTGTGAATTGAATGCGTTTAAAAAGCTGGCTTGTACTATCATAGCAACCAGTTTTCAAAGTGAGACACTGAAACTGCAAAATTAGAATCAAGAATAACAGCTGAAAACAAATGGCAACTCTAAATGATTTATGCCTTCTAAATCTTTAATTTGTGTGAGTGTCGTTGTACTGGGCAAGCTAACTTCATTTATCACCGTCCATCAGGAATTATGCCAAGAGGGCGTATGGTATAGGGGAAGCACCCTAATCCGTTCTAGAGGCACCTGCCCTTCTATTCTTTCTTGATGCAGTTCCATCCCTCCTCCACATATTAGCATGTTCTGGCGATTAAAATTAGATTAAAATTATGGCCATGTCTGAAGGGCTGGAAAGCGCACACACATACTGAGAGCATCACCTCTCTGTAACTTCCACCACAGCTGACCTTGGGGTAACTGTCAAAAGAAGGAACTTCTGGCTCAGCCTTCTGTGTTTACTTCATACATGATTAAAAATGGCCTGTGATCACAATTTGTTTTCTTGCACACATCTTTGATGTTCATAGATTTTTACTTTGCACTGGGTTTTCTGGAATGCTGAGAAGATAAAGAAATTCTAAAATATTAATGATCAGTAATTTCATTATGTATTTCTTGTTTCCCTTGCAGTACTATGTGCAAAAAACTTGGTGAAAAAGGATTTTTTCCGTAAGTAGCTATTAACATTTATGAATTAATATGTGTGGTACATGTTACATAAGTTCTGTACACTACTTTTAACACAGCATCATAGTGCATTGACATCTATGTGTTGAAGGAGATAGTGGTGTTTCCAACCCACTGTTCTTCAGCGCTTGTAACTTTTTAGCTGGCACTCATCCTGGGAGTATTTTTTTAAATCTGTTTTTAAAAACAAACAAACAAATGAACAAAAATTATCAACAACTCCTCTGGACTGGTGTAGAGAGGGGAAGGAAGTTTATGGGTTGAAGACATTTTTGGTGCTAATAAATCTGAAGGATTTTCATCTAAAAATATTGATCTGATCGCTTTTTGGTGTTTGAATAGTATGATTGGTTGATTATGTGCGGTATCTTTTTTTTTAAACAAAAAATTCTGTTTTTTTCCCCACATATGTACCAATTATATTGTTGCTGACTTTAGAGTGGAGAGAGAAGTTTTTCACCTTGAGTAACTTCTTTCAGGCAAATTGCAGGCTTTCAGAAAAACTAGCATCACATACATAAATATACATTGAACCATTTTACCATAGACAAGCTCCTTTGGTCTAACAAGCAGATACACCTTTTTATAATTAATGAGCAAGTCAGAATACATATTTGCCCACCCTGAACTGAAATTATGCACCTTCCACTAGTTTTCATGATATTTTGGAAGGGAAAGAGGATTCTTCTCAACTATGTGTGTGTGCGCGCGCACACAGATACAGAGATAGAGATATCTCTGTATCAACTTCCTTCCAAATGAGATTAGTAGGTAAAGCAGGAGAATCCAAAAGGGCAGACCCTAAACTTTAAAGATAACCTGCAAAGAGGAAAAAGATGGATGTGTGCCCTTTTTTGTGGTCTTATGATATATAAAAAAGACCGTAAAGCCTTAATGTTTATTTTGTTTGTAAGGTCTCTGAGGAAGAGGCTGTCCATTACTATGTGTTTTGTATAGTGCCTAGCAGAATGGGGCTTTGATCTCAGTCGGGGCCTGTAAATACTACCATAATACAAATAATTAGCAAGGATAACTAAAAAATCCTGCTTGTAACTTAACTTAAATACCAGGAATGTTATCTTCTGTGAATTTAGTGGATTCCTTGTTGGCTGTTCATTGGGAACTTACACAGGGTTGAAGGGGCTGAGAGTGGTTAGAACCTTATATAACAAGAGCTTTTCTCCATAAATATTTGACTCCGGGATTAAAAAACAAACAGTTTTAAAGAGTTTGAATGAAAATTACTTCTCTTCTCAGTCAGATTGCACTTGCTTGGTATATTTCATGTTGTCCTAACAGGCCTCCAGTCATCCATAGTTCCATCCCAAGTAGTCAAGATTTGAATGGCAAGTGTAAAAATAGCAGAAGGAAAAACATTTTTTTTTAAGGGGGAGAAAAATGCGTAGCCCTTTTTACACATAAGGGGAAAAAAAACTTTCTTTTTCTTTGCAGGTCACCTTTAGAGCATTGTTGCAAAGCTCAGTTTGTTCATCTACTTAAAGGCAGTTTAACATTGTAGTTCTGTCAGTTTGTATACATAAGACACACATTTTTTATATATTTGTAGAGAATATGAAATATCTGAAAACTCTTTCAAAGCAAGTATTTTATCCTGAATTTTGAATATTCTAATGCAAACATCACGTTAACCTACTTGGAGCTGAAATTGTGATGATGACAGACTCCGATTAAATATGACCCTTTTCAAAATACTCAGCATATAAGAAAAAAAAATCACAGTTGTGTATTGATTATCATTTTATTTTTCTTCAGTTTTCAAGCATGCCCTTTTATGAGTTTTTCCTCCCCTCCTATAGGACTTCCTGATCCATTTGCTAAGGTGGTGGTCGACGGATCTGGCCAATGCCATTCTACAGATACTGTGAAGAATACGCTTGATCCAAAGTGGAATCAGCATTATGACCTGTAGGTGTTAACAGTGATATCTAAAATACAGCAAAGGTTTGAAGCTGAATCTTCTAAAAAGCACAGAAACTCCAAAATTGCCAAATGTTCACAGTAGTGAAAATATGCCAGAGGAGTAAACCTTGTTAGCCAGGGTGAAAAATACATGCACCACAATCACACCTTTCGCATCTCAACACTACACCCTGGTATGTTTTCTAATACACTGTCTGCAATGCATTTTACAGATAGCATAGTGTTGTTTGGATTATTTTATTGTCCAACATTTTGATAGTGGACTCTGCATAAAATAAAAGGAAAAAATAGTTTACCAAATTTCCCTTAGCATTTATTCTTCCTTTCCTCTTCATTCCATTTTTTATTTCTGCAGTGTAATTTGGTGTCTTTCCTTCTGTCTTGCAAAATCTTTCTTCAGTCCTAATGTTGTTTCCTTCTTTCCCTTTCTTATTCCCTTTAATTTGTGCTAAGTATTTCATTTCTGTTCTGTGTAGGTTTTTATACTGCTATCCTCACCCTAGTATCTGAGCTCCTTTCAGTAGTGCAGTAAGCAACATGACATACATCTGTCATGTGTGGTTCATTCTTTCTCTTGCTTCTCCCTGGGGGAGAATTTTCTGTGCAGAAATAATACAATATTTTGTTTTCTTAGGCATTTTTAATTTTTTTTATTATATTGTTTCTCTGCTCTCTTCTTCCCTTTTGTTCTTTCAATATGTGCTTGGGGTGAAAAGCAGAAAGAGGAGTCTTTGAACTATTTGCACAGTTTGCCTCAAGGCGCTCTTTTTAGTCACTGATTACATCCTGGCTTAATCCATTCCTCCATTCACATTGTCTTCCCTCCATTCCTGTTTTCTGCCAGTATCTGCATTCACTCCTTAGGGCCTGTCTTGTGGGAGTATTTGTATTGATCAGGCTACTCCAGTGCAGACCTTCAGTGTAGCTGCAACACAGTGGTGTAAAATGGGCTTTTACAAGTTTTAAACTGCTGCATCACTTATACATAGGTGCTGGAACTAGAGGTGCTGGGGGTGCTCCCACACCTCCTGGCTTAAAGTGGTTTCCATTATATAGAGGTCTTACAGTTTGGTTCAGTGGCTCTCAGCACCTCGCCCTCCCCCCGCCATTATACAGATTGTTCCAGACCCCCTGTTTAAAACTAGGATAAACTGCAAGCCCTGATTTGCACCCAGTGCAGCATATCTATGCTAGGGATTTGCCGCAGCATAGCTGCATCACTGAATTTATACCTATACAAATATCTCCACTCCATGCCTCCGGCTTCCCAGGGAAAAGAAGCCATGGCTCCAGCCAGCATCCTAAATCTTCAGCAGAACACTAATGTGAAAGACCTGTTTTAAAGTAACCTCAGATCTTCCACTTCCTTGAATGGTTGAAGACTAAACACGCACAATACATTTTCAGAATTTTTTGGTGCAAGATACAAAACATTTGCATTACTATTTCACTAAATGTCATTGATAATTTAATGAAACAATATTGCTTTACTGGGGAGTGGGATTGTAGTATTTTAGCCAAGGACAGCATTTGTTCAAAGCATATTTTCAAAGCTTTGTAACTGTGCCATAAAAACTTAGTCCAGAGTCAAGCTCCGCATATGCAGTCTTTTTTTCAATTTCCAAACAAATTTGATTTAAAAGCAGTTTGTTATAAGGAGAAAAAACATCTCTATGCTTTTCATGTTTAAAGAACTTGAAAATGCTTTGATTTTCATAATTATTAAATCTGCCAAGGTGCTGATTTTATACAAGTAGCTAATTAAGTGAATTGTCTAAATCTTCAGGAACTGATTTTTTTCAGAGATTTCTTCATAGCCATATTTATTAGGCATTGTAATCAGGAGCACTTTTCAGGGTTGGTATGGCAAATACTGCTGTGGAAATTGGTGCCAGCTGGTGAAATATATTTAAATTGGCAGCAGTATCGAAGTCTTGCATTTTCTTTTTCTCCTCTCATTCTTTCTTTTTCTTTCTCTTCCCACCCCCTTACCTTTCTTTTTGGAAATGCCCATTAGCACACATTAATGATCTTCTTTATAGGAACAAAAAGAAAGAGTAAGGGAGAAAGGAAAGTGAAAAGAGTGTTGCCAAGTTTGTGTTTCCCACAACCTTGGTGGCTTTGTAAAGCTAGTTGTGGGATTTTTAAAAGGAGTAATGAGTTACTATAATTTGATGGTACTTATAATAATGCTGCCCACTTCTTGTTTACAATGTCACCTGAAAATGAGAACAGACATTCACATGGCACTGTTGTAGCTGGCGTTGCAAGATTATTTACATGCCAGATGAACTAAACATTCATATGTGCCTTCATCTTCAACCACCATTCCAGAGGACATGCATCCATGCTGATAACGGGTTCTGCTTGATAACGATTCAAAGCAGTGCAGACTGACACATGTTCACTTTCATCTGAGTCAAATGCCACCAGCAGAAGGTTGATTTTCTTTTTTTGGTGGTTCGGGTTCTGTAGTTTCCACATCAGAGTGTTGCTCTTTTAAGGCATCTGAAAGCATGCGCCACACCTTGTCCTTCTCAGGTTTTGAAAAACACTTCAGATTCTTAAACCTTGGGTGCAGTGCTATAACTATCTTTAGAAATTTCACCTTGGTACCTTCTTTGCATTTTGTCAAATCTGCAGTGAAAGGGTTCTTAAAACGAACAGTATGTGGCGGGTCATCATCCAAGACTGCTGTAATATGAAATACATGCCAGAATGTGGGTAAAACAGAGCAGGAGACATTCTATTCTCCTTCAAAGAGTTTAGTCAAAATTTAATTAACACATTATTTTTTTAACGAGTATCATCAGCATGGAAGCATGTCCTCTTGAATGGTAGCTGAAGCATGAAGGGGCATACAAATGTTTACCATATTTGGCATGTAAATACGTTGCAATGCCAGCTACAGAAGTGCCATGCGAACGCCTAGTCTCACTTTCAGGTGACATTGTAAATAAGAAGCCAGCAGCATTATCTCATGTAAATGTAAACAAACTTGCTTGTCTTAGTGATTGGCTGAATAAGAAGTAGGACTGAGT